ATCTCTTCTCCCGCTGGGTTTAGGCTTTATTTGCTCTTCTTTCTCCAGCCCCTTTAGGTGTAGGGTTAGGTTGTGTATTTGAGACCTTTCTTGTTTGAGAAAGGCTTATATTGCTATATACTTTCCTCTTAGGACTGCCTTTGCTGCATCCCAGAGATTTGGAAGAGTTGTGTTTTCGTTTTCATTTGTTTCCTTGAATTTTTTTAATTCTTCTTTAATTTCCTGGTTGACCCATTCATTCTTTAGTAGGATGCTCTTTGGCCTCCATGTATTTCTTTCCGACATTCCTCTTGTGATTGAGTTGTTCTAGTTTCAAAGCACTGTGGTCTGAAAATATGCAGGGAATGATCCCAGTCTTTTGGTACTGGTTGAGACCCGATTTGTGACCTAGGATGTGATCTATTCTGGAGAATGTTCCATGAGCACTAGAGAAGAATGTGTATTCTGTCACTTTGGGATGGAATGTTCTGAATATATCTGTGAAGGCCATTTGGTCCAGTGTGTCATTTAAAGTCTTTATTTCCTTGCTGATCTTTTGCTTAGAGGATCTGTCTATTTCAGTGAGGGTGGTGGTAAAGTCCCCTACTATTACTGTATTGTTGTTGATGTGTTTCTTTGATTTTGTTATTAATTGGCTTATATAATTGGCTGCTCCCATGTTAGGGGCATAGATATTTACAATTGTTAGATCTTCTTGTTGGATAGACCCTTTAAATATGTTGTAGTGTCCTTCCTCATCTCTTATTATAGTCTTTGGTTTAAAATCTAAGTTGTCTGATATAAGGATTGCCACCCTAGCTGTCTTTTGATGTCCATCAGCATGGTAGATAGTTTTCCACCCCCTCACAGATTCAATCTGGAGGTTTCTTTGGGTCTAAAATGAGTCTCTTGCAGACAGCATATCGATGGGTCTTGTTTTTTTCATCCAATCTGATACCTGTGTCTTTTGATTGGGGCATTGAGCCCATTTACATTCAGGGTAACTATTGAAAGATATGAATTGAGTGCTATTGTATTGCCTGTAAGGTGACTGTTACTGTATATTGTCTGTGTTCTTTTCTGGTCTATGTTATTTTTGGGCTCTCTCTTTGCTTAGAGGACCCCTTTCAATATTTCTTGTAGGGCTGGTTTTGTGTTTGCAAATTCTTTTAGTTTTTTTGTCCTGGAAGTTTTTTTTTTTTTTAAACTCTCCTTCTATTTTCAATGATAGCCTAGCTGGATATAGTATTCTTGGCTGCATATTTTTCTCATTTAGTGCTCTGAATATATCATGCCACTCCTTTCTGGCCTGCCAGGTCTCTGTGGATAGGTCTGTTGCCAATCTAATGTTTCTACCATTGTAGGTTACAGACCTCTTGTCCTGAGCTGCTTTCAGGATTTTCTCTTTGTCTCTGAGACTTGTAAGTTTTACTATTAGATGTCGGGGTGTTCACTTATTTTCATTGATTTTGGGGGGGGTTCTCTGTGCCTCCTGGATTTTGATGCTTGTTTTCTCCCCCAAATTAGGGAAGTTCTCTGCTATAATTTGCTCCAATATACCTTCTGCCCCTCTCTCTTTTTCTTCTTCTTCTGGGATCCCAATTATTCTAATATTGTTTCATCTTACTGTATCACTTATCTCTCGAATTCTGCCCTCGTGATCCAGTAGTTTTTCATATCTCTTTTTCTTGGCTGCTTTATTCTCCATCATTTGGTCTTCCATATCGCTAATTCTCTCTTCTGCCTTATTTATCCTAGCAGTTAGAGCCTCCCTTTTTGATTGCACTTCATTAATAGCCTTTTTGATTTCAACTTGGTTAGATTTTAGTTCTTTTATTTCTCCAGAAAGGGTTTCTCTAGTATCTTCCATGCTTTTTTCAAGCCCAGCTAGTATCTTTATAATTGTCATTCTGAACTCTAGTTCCGACATCTTACTAATGTCCATATTGATTAGGTCCCTGGCAGTCGGTACTGCCTCTTGTTTTTTTTTTTGAGGTGAGTTTTTCCATCTTGTCATTTTGTCCAGAGGAGAATAGATGAATGAGAGAACAAAATGCTAACAGGGTAACAACGACCCCAGTAAAATATACACTAAACAAATCAGAAGAGACCCAAAACCAGGGGAAAAGAAAGGGAAAGAAAGAAAGAAAGAGAAAAGAGTATGATCAAATATGATCAGGCTGGTGCATAGATCAGTGCCACACACTAGATTTTGGGTGTATTTTGGTCTGTTAGAAGAAAGTGCCTCCCAAAATTTTAAAGAAAGAAAAACTTATATACGTACAAAAGTAAGGGTAAATACGATGAAAGGATGGAATATGACTGTAAAGATGAAAATTACAAAAGATTTTATAAAAGGAATTGATAAGGTGTTGGTTGAAAAAAGAAAGAGAAATTAAAAATAAAAAAAGGGAGAGACTGTGATCAGGCAGGAGACTAGAACAACGCCATACACTAGTGATTTAGGGTATATTTTGATCTGTTAGAGGAAACTGTATCCCAAAATTTTAAAGAGAGGAAACTTACATATATATCAAAAATAAGGTTAACTACAATGAAGGGATAGAATATGACTCTAAAAATGGAAAATGAAAAAGATTTCAAAAAAAGGGATTGATAAGATGTTGGTTGAAAAGGGGAAAAAGAAAAATTCAAAAAAGAGAAAAAGAAAAAAAAATTAAAAAAATTAACTTTGAAAGACTAAAGAATCATGGTAAAAAAGTCATGAATTCTATGTGCAGTATTCCCCTAGCGCTGGAGTTCTGCCGTTCTCATTGATCGGTAAACTTGGTCTTGGCTGGCTGTTCTTG